TTCCTGTAGTCAGCCGCTGGTCAGTTTCAGCAGCGGCTGAATCTGGACGCCAGTTCCGACTTAAGTACAAATTCAGCTTAAGAACAAACCTACAGTCCCTATCTTGTACGTAACCCGGGGACTGCCTGTAATGCACATTGCCAGATGATCAACATTTTGATATCACAGCTAATGAAAAACTTAAGCTTAAATGGATCAGCAAAAGAAAGTTCAACATTTATTCTTAGGGAAGGGTAGTGAGAAGATGTAACCTTGTAGCCTTGTAACACTGATGTAACATTGTAACCTTGATGTAACATTGTAACCTTCAAGTGAATTATATATCTGGCACTAACCCAGAAAAAAAGGCAGGGGTAATGAGCGAGAAATCTTGGTTATGTCCAACTGTAAAATCCACAAGGGATGCAACAGACAAGGCACTGGACTAAATATCCACCAAAATCAAACTCTGGGTAAGAAAATAAATAATGATATTCTGCCACGGAAAATTACCATTGCATACACTGAGGCATGTAACACATGGGAGGGGAAGGAGAAATAATACAGACGGGTATCAAGAATGCTTCCAAGACCATGAAAATCACAAGTAAAACAAGAGCTGCAAGAATATGTGAAGACAAATGGTAAAGGAGCAACAGCAGCAGATGTTCTCCCTTAAGGACATAAATGAAAACAGGAATCACTGACAGAGAAATGTTGCACAGGAGCTTCGCAGGACAAATATATCTTTATCAGACCCAAAACACCATCATGCTCAGCATGAAAGTAAAGGAGAAGATCACAGACAGCTTGTTAACGGAGAGGAGCATTGGTGCAAACAGCAATATAGCAGAATTACCTACAGCTGAAAATGAACATTCAGGGCTACACCTAATGTCCCCTTTCACCATAGGCAAATAGGTCCTGAAATTAGTACCATCAGCTGCACAAGGTCAAGATGGGATACATGAAGCCCATGCTGGAGATATACATCTCTGTTATACCGTGGAGCTCATCTCTAGTGGAGCTTGCTGCATGGAGTTTCAGGGAAGTGGCTGAAGACAAAGGGTGAGTCTCGGTGACAAAGCCCCTGGAACTGCTGCTAAATAAATCCCATGGGCCACTGTCTCCAACAGAGTGTGAATTCAGGAGCTGCTGCAGAGTGGCAGAGGAGCAGCTCCGTGTCCTATATGCTTTGATGAACTATAGGATCAAATGCAACACTCTGCTACCAAGGTCATCAGAATGGAATTTTCCCAAGCACCTACCAAACTTCAGAGCTGAAGTCCTATATCACTTAGGGCTTTTTTTTTTAAAAAAAAAATCCTACTTAGTTTTTATTAACCTATGCTTTTTCCAAAGAACTCAGCAGTGGAGTGTTGGCTTACTTACAGGTGACTATCGCGCTGGGCTCGCAGATATTTTGTTGAACAGAGGTGCAGAAATTCCTATGAATGAAATGAATAAATCACATACAGGATTCAACTTCGGCCCACAAATCAGGGCCTCAGACATTACAGTGCTGTATCGGCACATAACGACTAAACCGTTCCTGCCCTCACTTAGGTGTAAGTAATTAATGGAAAGCACCGGAGTATTTGTGAATAAATCAAATCCATGGGATTTGTAAAATAGCTTAAAAGAGGGGCCTGCATATTTTGCTTTATTTTAAAAGCATTCTTTTAAAAATATATTTTTAGAAAAGTAGGCTCAGTAAATTATGGAACTTGATCAGTCTTTTCACCAGTGATTGTTAATAAGGAAAGTTTAGGTTGGATTTTCATTCCCTTACTTACTATGAGTTTCATTTTCTATATGTGAACTAATAAAGTAGACTACAGGGTCTTGTTGACAAAAGTCCACTTTTGTTGACAAAACTATACCTGCGTCTACACTACCACCGAGTTCTGTCGACAGTAAGTCGACAGAATGCGACAGCTTTGTTGATGGCGATAAACCTCATTCTACAAGGAATAACGCCTTTTGTCGACAGAGGTTTTAGTCCTACTGAGGTTTTAGTCTGGTGACACTTTATTTTAATCTTTTTTCCAATAAAACTGTTTATAACAAAGACAATCTGAATCTGAGAGTGAGTATCCCCTGGTATAACAGCCAAACACCCCTGGAGATAAGGATTCTCTCTTTTGTTCTCCAAGCATGAGATGTGTCTAAGGGTACGTCTAGACTACATGCCTCTGTCGCCAGAGGCATGTAGATTAGGCTACCCGACAGAGTAAAATGAAGCGGCGATTTAAATAATCGCCGCTTCATTTAAATTTACATGGCTGCCGCTTTGAGCCGACAAACAGCTGATCAGCTGTTTGTCGGCTCAAAGCGGCAGCCATGTAAATTTAAATGAAGCGGCGATTATTTAAATCGCCGCTTCATTTTACTCTGTCGGGTAGCCTAATCTACATGCCTCTGGCGACAGAGGCATGTAGTCTAGACGTACCCTAAGAGAAGTGTCACCCATAGTCAGCCAGCTGCTCAGGCTGAGACATGTTAAAAGTGGGTCCTGCCCCAAAAGGTGGATGGGGAACTCTAAAGAGCAAGATGAAGTCACAGCCTGGTGACAATTACAATAGTTCAGAAAATCTGCCAACTGTTTGCTTTATTGTTTTCACAGCTTTCCCTTTGCCATTGTTCATGATCACACTGTAGGTTTCCCAAGTATACCCCAGGCCTCAGGGATGCTCCTATTTCATCCCACCGTTTTTGAGCATCACGTTTTTCAGACCCAAGGGACTGGATGGGATTTCCTCCAGAACTTGCCAATTTCACTCCTGAAGCCAGTCAGAGTAAGACTGACCCACTGCCCACTGACCCACTGCCATCCCACAGTGCTAAGCACATTACCTCGACAGTGCCCCCAGCCTGTGCTGGACCAGCAAGCATGTTCTGCTGTGTTATTTCACTGTGAAGTAAACAAGCAATTTTAGCTTCAATCATATCCTGTATTTGATAAGCTTGATTCAACATTAGATCAAATGTAATGCTAGTAAGTTCTGTTGGGAAAAGAGCTCTCCAAAAAGTGGCAGTGCTAACAATAGGGTGTGCCCACAGCATTGAATTCACACCTGGAATTCTTTTTTTTTTTCCCCCTAGAACATTTAAATCTGAAGTCCATTCGGGGGAGCTATGATCCAAAGAATTTTCTCATTCTGTTTCTGTTTTCCTAGGCTAGCATCATCCATTCTTGTATATAAGCTACTTTTTGTACCTCGAGAGAGAGGGGGAAAGGCTAAGATTTGACTAAATGGTTCAAATCTAATTGACATGCCTCCCAACATTTAATCCAAATTGTCAAAATAGACCATGTATAGCATATAGAAGATAGGGTTTGACGTTTGCATTTGGCAGTTGCTCCAGGCACCTCTAAATAGATCTTCCAGATGAGGCTTTTGGTCACAACGTTCACAGAGGTGTTAAGTACAAAAGCATTCCTACAAGGAAAAACTATTTTTCCCCTAACAAAGTGTGTGTGTGTGTGTGTGTGTGTGTGTGTGTGTGCGTGTGTGCGCGTGTTTCACAAAATGGTGTTTGCATAAACTATTAGGGGAAGAGTGAAAAAGGAGACAACAAAACCTTCCGCGGGATTTCAAGTGTGCTGATGAATGGAATACATAGGCAGAATTACCCTGGAAACTGTTGCACCATCTGAACAGTACATACTGTCCCTGGCAATGCACACATCTATATTAAAGACAAGATGCTTACCAAACTTTATAAATACCGTGCACTGTCTGATTAATATTACATTTTGGACATTTGTTTATGTTGAAAAGATTATAAATTAAAACGTCAAAAGTGCCCAAGTGACTTTGAAATTTAAAAAGTCTCAGGGTATGTCTACACTACCCCGCTAGTTCGAACTAGCAGGGGTAATGTAGTCATCCACACTTGCAAATGAAGCCCGGGATTTGAATTTCCCGGGCTTCATTTGCATGAAGCCGGCCGGTGCCATTTTTAAATGCCGGCTAGTTCGAACCCCGTGCCGCGCGGCTACACGCGGCACGGAGTAGCTAGTTCGGATTAGGCTTCCTAATCCGAACTAGCTGTACGCCTCGTTCTTCATTCCACGAGGCATACAGCTAGTTCGGATTAGAAGCCTAATCCAAACTAGCTACTCCGTGCCGCGTGTAGCCGCGCGGCACGGGGTTCGAACTAGCCGGCATTTAAAAATGGCACCGGCCGGCCTTATGCAAATGAAGCCCGGGAAAATCAAATCCCGGGCTTCATTTGCAACTCCGTATGACTACATTACCCCCCCTAGTT